GCTACTAGTAGCGATGCCCTTTGTTGCCAGTAGCTTCTTGTTCCTAGTAATAAGGCCAGGAGCCCCTAGTAGCATGCTCGCTCCTAGTAGCGTGCTCGCTCCTAGTAGCGATGCCAGTAGCCCCTAGTAGCATCCTTTACTTGGGTCTTGAGAAAACCTCAAATATATACTCACAATCTTGTTTGTAAAACCACAGTCGATGCGCCCGAGCGACAGCCAAACCCGTGTAGGCTTCTTTCAGAACGACGTCGGTGAACTGCACTGTGTAAACCTCTGCGTCGCAGCCTGTCACAAGTGGAAGGGTTGCTGTGGAACCTAGAGAAACAAGACCCAAATGAGAAACAAATGGTTCCTGCTCTTAGGTTGGAGGCCATCACTACTGTAGTAGGTTGAAGGCCATCGCCCTTGGGTTGAAGGCCATTGCTATTAATTGGGTCCCTTTTTATATCCGTTTTTTGTTTCTATTTTTTCCACATGAAGAAAACTAAGCGACTCAAGACACTCTCTTCGTTCACTATGGCACGGACACAGAATTGGGTCTGATGTGCTTTTCGCGTCCACGGACGCTAGTGCCTCACAGCGACAACACAGAAGGAACAGGTAAAAGGTGTGATTAATTTTGGAGAGAGATGAAGGCTATAACGAAGTAGGTTGGAGGACATCGCTATTAGGGTATAAGCGAAGGAGTAAACTTAGTAAACGTGAAGGAGTAGGTAAAGGTTGTAACCGCCCCCCTCAATGCCAAGAGACGCCCTCATCAGTGATGAGCCGCTGGCAAACATCCACAAAATAGATGTCATAACCCTCCACCTCACCGCATGTCATGTCTAAAACGAAACCGTCCAAACAAAAAAACATTCAAACAGCTTCAATCATGCAAAATCAACAATAGAAACTTGGTACTTTTGTAAGAAAAAATAAATACAGTTGTCACCGTCTCCGTTGTTGCTTTGTTGTGTTTTGTCTTACCACCCTTCGTTCTTCACGTTCTTTGCGCTTTTCGTTTCTTCAAAATTCTCTTCGTTCTCTTCTCTTTCTTCACATCTCATGCACGAACTCGTTCTTTTCGTTTTTCCTTCTTCTTTGGCTTCTCGCCTTGTCTTCATACATGGTCCCTTGGCCACCGAAGCGAATGGGCACATAGGGCGTCCGCAGATCTTGAGCCTTGCGAGAGCGGAAAAGCGCCGAGCCGCTTTGAGCCCGAAGCAACAAAGAAAACAAGTGACCAAGTCATCGACTTTCACCTTTTCAAAAGAGAAAACAAGCTTTCAAGAGCAGTGTGGACACACTAAGGGTTCATTCATGCCTTTCGAAATGTTCGAAGTGCATTTCGACTGCGCAGGGTCGCAGAATCTGGGTGTCCGCAGTGGGTGCTTCTCGCGACTGCGCTCTCGTTGTGGTGCCGTGCGCATTTTCGGACATGATGGTCACTTTTCGTGGCAGTCGCAAGACACCAAGCAAAACGCAAAAAGTCAAAAAGTGAGAAACGTCAAAAGGTAAAATTACTTTACTTCGAGTGATCCCCACCATGGCATTTCAAAACAACCACGTTGACATCAACCTTGTTGTGTGTTTCAGCCCATAGCACAAGTCCTTCAGCGCCCAGTCTTACTGTTTTGTCCGAAGCGAATGCTTTCATCAGGAGACCTGCGCCCAACTAATAATACAACTCAGATCATTTCAGTAGTAGTCGTACTGGGTGGCCCAAGTAGTAGTATTACTATTTATTACTATTTGTTAGTAGTAGTGGTAGTGGTAGTGGTAGTGGCTGTGTGTTTGTGGTTGTGTGTTTGTGGTTGCGTTTGTGATTGCGTTTGTGGTTGCGCTTGTGGTTGCGTCTTTGTCGTTGAGGCTGCGGTTGTGTTTGTGGTTGCGTGCTTGTCATTGCATGTTTGTGATTGTGGCTGTGGTCGTGTTTGTGGTTGTGCTTGTGGTTGTGTGTTTGTGGTTGTGTGTTTGTGGTTGTGTGTTTGTGATATTGTGTTTGTGACTGTGTGTCATTCTATCTGGCATATCTTCTTGCTATCTGGCAAACTATCTAGCATACTATCTGCCATTCAATCTGCCATTCTATCTGGCAATCTATCTGACATACTATCTGGCATACTGTCTGGCATACTATCTGGCATTTTGTCTGGCTTACTATCTGTCATTCTATCTCGCATATCTTCTGGCATTCTATCTGGCATTTTATCTGGCATTCTATCTGGCAATGTATCTAGCAATCTATCACACTATTTGGCATACTATCTGGCGTATCTTCTTGCAGCATTTTATCTGGAAATCTACCTGGCATTCTATCTGGCATTTTATCTGGCAAACTATCTGGTTGAGGTCCAGCGGTGCACACTGCGATCGGATCCTTGCGGTTGAGGTCCAGCGGTGCACACTGCGATCGGACCTTTGCGGTTGAGGTCCAGGGATGCACACTGCGATCGGATCCTTGCGGTTGAGGTCCAGCGGTGCACACTGCGATCGGATCCTTGCGGTTGAGGTCCAGGGGTGCACACTGCGATCGGATCCTTGCGGTTGAGGTCCAGGGGTGCACACTGCGATCCGGAGCTTGCCAGACAAGATCGGCGAAGCAGATTGGCGAAGCAGATTGGCGAAGAAGATTGGCGATGAAGATTGGCGATGAAGATTGGCGATGAAAGATTGGCGAGGAGGTTGGCGAGGAAGGAAGCAAGGAGGAAGGAAGGAAGGAAGGAAGGAAGGAAGAACAATTGATGTTTTTGGCTTCCAAGTTGACCATTTTCAATATTATTGAAAAAGATTTGGGACCAATCGTAAGATTGATTTTTTTCAATATCGGATCCTCAGGGAACTGTGATAAAATCTAAGAACCCTCACCTGGCAGGTGGGGAAAAATCAAAAAGGTAAAAGGAAACGACAGCGCGCAGCGAAATTTTTCGACTTTTCGAGACTTTTTGACTTTTCGAAATTTTTGGACACCAGTCACATGCCGTGCCCATCAACAAGGAAGGCTAGCAGAATTGATCCAAACGTTGCTTTTGCATCCCGGTAGCCATTTAGGGGGTGGGGTCGTGGAAACAGATTTTGTAGTACAGAACGACCTGAGCCTTACAAAAAGGGCGTTGCAAAGGAAATGCAGCCTTACAAAATGGCTTCCTGACAAGGGGCTCGTCCCCCATCAGAAAAACCTGTTCTGCTACAAAATGGGCGCCCGCCTTCCCACAATCTCTAAAAATAGTCGCGCGGATTCTGCTACAAAATGAGTCAGGCAGCCTTCTGTAGTCTCTTTTCATTTTTCACTCAACTACTCATCCAGGGTCATTCCCCCAAATCATGAATAAGTCAGCTGCATTGTTCATATTTAAACATTTTGTGCTCACCAAAGGGGGGCCCACAATGAAGCTTCCCCAAAGATCATCAAAGCACTGCAGGTGCCAGGGTGGTTACAAGGAGTACGGGCCTAGAAGTGTAATTGCCATGCTTAGGTGGCCTTTGGGTGGCCATTTTGTAGAAGCTGTCCAGGTTCTAGAGCTAAATATATGTAAATATCTTTTCGCTTTTGTGACCACCCTTGGTGTGAAGGCAAACCAAAGGGAAACCAAGCCGAACAAACCGGAGGGCAAAAACTTTGGGCAGCCAGCCGGAGGTTGCATTTTCTCGGTGTTTTTTGTTGAGCCACATGGCAACTGTAAACTAAGCCACGTTCTCCCCTACAAAATGAATTCCTGGGTTGCAAGATACACCACCAAAAAGTGACCAGATTTTACTACAGAATGAGGTTCCAGGCTCCATGACAGTCCATGTTTGTTTGCTACAAAATGGGCCCTACAAAATGGTTTCGGCAAACCAAAAAAATTTACTACATTCAGGGACAGACAGTTAGAATATAACATCCGAACATTTAGGTATTTAAATTAGGACCTCCGACAGCGATGCGGTGTAGATTTGCAGATAGGATACGAGTGCAGATAGAATATACAAAATCAACAATGAAACAAAACTACCTCCACCTAAAATACGTTTGTAGCTTCTTACAGGCTACCTTCTGTGAAAACTAACGCACAGTACAGTACTGTATATGTTCGGAGATCTGTTGAAAACTATACTGTAAACCACGGTATATATTTAAGATGAGATAAGGCGGCTGCTGAATAATCAGGACGCTGCACAAGTGCTGCCTTATCTGATCTTACTTACAGTTCAGGGAGGGCGTGCTGTGTTGAACAGACTGAGGTGCCATAACCAGCTGTGTTGAATAACCAGCGCTAAAATTCATGGTTTTAATTTTTCATATTCTACCTGCGTTTAAAAACTTTTAGCACTTCTAACTGTCTGTCCCTGATAGTACACAATAGTTTTTTAATACAGGGCCTGACCCCTCCCATTTCATAGGGGAAATGGCAACGCGCTCCTACAGACAGAGAGAGGATCTGGAGGTCAAAACACGCAGCCGCCTGCCAAAAGGACCCGCCAAGGCCCGGGACCTTTTGGCGGGCGACTCTTTTTATCATCGTTTCCTTTCGTGCACTTTTTAGCAACCACAGCGCAAGGGAAACCTGTCTTGGTGTTCCAAAAGTCGACTTTTCGTGACAAGCGCAAGGGATCGGAGCTGTTGTACTTCGAAGTGCAGATTTTTGCAGGCGCAGCGCTTTGGACATGGTGGTGATGTTGGAGGCACTCTGATTTCGTGACAGGCGCAGCAAATCTTGACTTTTGGACATGTGGCTCGTTTGCAGATTTCGCGGCTGGCGCAGCACTTTGTGAACCTTGAAGTGCAGATTTCGTGACAGGCGCAGCACTTTGTGAAAATCGAAGTGCAGATTTCGTGCCAGGCGCAGCACTTTGTGAACCTCGAAGTGCAGATTTCGTGACAGGCGCAGCGCTTTGTGAACCTCGAAGTGCAGATTTCGTGACAGGCGCAGCACTTTGTGAAAATCGAAGTGCAGATTTCGTGCCAGGCGCAGCACTTTGCGAACCTCGAAGTGCAGATTTCGTGGCTGGCGCAGAACTTTGTAAACCTCACTCACTCACTCTCACTCACTCTCACTCACTCGCTCGCTCGCTCACCATCACCACCGTCACCATCATCACCACCAACATACTACTAGGAGCAAGAAGCTACCCTACTAGGAACAAGTGCATCGCTTCTAGTAACAAGTGCCTTGCTACTAGGAGCAAGAAGCTACTAGGAACAAGTGCATCGCTTCTAGTAACAAGTGCCTTACTACTAGGAGCAAGAAGCTACTAGGAACAAGGGCATCGCTTCTAGTAACAAGTGCCTTACTATTAGGAGCAAGAAGCTACTAGGAACAAGGGCATCGCTTCTAGTAACAAGTGCCTTACTACTAGGAGAAAGAAGCTACTAGGAACAAGTGCATCGCATCTAGCAACAAGTGCCTTACTACTAGGAGCAAGAAGCTACTAGGAACAAGTGCATCGCTTCAAGTAACA